TTGATTTGGCATTATGAAGTTTCAGGCGATTATTCGGTGAAATCTGGTTATCGGTTAGCTGCGGCTGAGTACATTGCTGATTTTTCCATGATTCCATCGTCCTTTGACTCTCGCTCTTGGAAGTTTCTATGGTCTCTTCCTGTTCCCCCAAAGCTTAAATTTTTTCTTTGGCGCGTGGTTAAAGGTTTTCTCCCTGTTCGAGATGTGCTTCGTGATAAGGAATTGATTGCTGATGATGATACTGAGGCTTACGCTTGCCCTGTCTGTGGTGGTGCGGCAGAGACTCTTGCTCATTGTTTTTTGGATTGTCGAATTGCTTTGGAGTTGTGGGATTTGTTGGGGTACAATCATATTCTTGCTCAAATTCGCTTGTGCCATGTTGCGATAGGTTGGCGTAGGATTTTTTTTGATGCAGGGTTATCCAAAGTTGAGATATCGCGGTTGGTTTTTCTGTACTGGAGGCTCTGGAAATCCAGATGTTCGGCTACTTATGATGGTATTCAGTATTTCTCCCATGTTTTATCACGTCATTATTTCTCTCAGGTTGCTGAATGGGAGCTAGCACAGGCGCATCCGGTGAGATCTTTGCCTCGTGGTTCTTCTGCTTCTGGTGGGGTTTTACCTCGTGATCAACCCCCTCCCTCCATTCCTCCTGGTGCAGTGTTGGTTCACTTTGATGGTGCCACCAAATCTTTGGTCGGATGTGCCATTGGTTTTGCTGGCTTTACAGAGGCGAATACCTCTATATTCGCTTGGGGGCGTTTTATTCCTAACATTGATGACCCATTTCTCGCAGAGCTCCTGGCTCTTCGCGACTCCTTACGTTGGTGCATGGCTCACTCGTTCACTAATGTTTTGTTTTGTGGGGATGCGCAGGTGATCATTCGGATGATTAATGCGAAGGACTCGTCGCACGCGGTGGGTGGAGCTCTCCTGCAAGAGATTCAGGTGTTGCGGGCTTCTTTCCTTCGTGCTACGTTCCATTTCGTTCCCCGTAGGTATAATAGGGCTGCCCATTTCGTGGCAAGACAAGCCCTTGGAGCGATGGTGCAGACACTTGTCGATCATCGTGTTTTAATTATTTAATTTTCCTAGCCTGGTCTTAGGAGGCCTTGTATTTTGTCGTACCTTCGCTGCTTCCCTTTCGGGATATCTTTGGCAAAAAAAAAAAAAAAGAAACACAACATTTGATTAACCTTTTTAGTATAATGATTCAAATTAACGAAACCCTAAATTACACAACTACTTTGTTCAAATGCTTTATCCTCTCTAAACCATTTACAATAACTTCTCCAAATCTAAATAGGCACTACTATAGTACTACTGCTGCAAATCTTCAGGATCCAGTGGTACTAATTCCTCGTCGCCGAGCTCCAACGTCCTTGTGAAGTATCGCACAAACCTTTGCAAGCGTGGTAGGATAAGGAACCCTAGCATGCCTCGACTCCAGCCTCTCCGCCACTTCCGAGTCAACGAAACTTCCACGGAAACCCTCGAGACTCGCCGCATCCGCCGCCGCAACATCGTAGAACTCGCCGTAACGCTCGAAGAAGAGCTGTCGAAGGATCCAAAGCTCGAGGAGATCGGGGCAACGTGGGGTGGCGAACGCCAACGTGGAGACCGCCTTGTTGATCTCCCTAGGGCAGTCCACGTGGCGGCGTATGTAGGTGAGATTGGCCTTGACGACGTCGCACGAATGGTACAGCAATTCGAGGATCCGGATCGCGTTCTCGTCCCTCACTATCTGCTCCGCGGCCACGAAGACGGCACCCACGTCCCCATCGTCTACGAACCGAGCTATTCTGCCGGTACGGTCCTGGACCCGTTTTTCCCTTTCTTTCTTCAGGTTTCTCAGTCGGCTTTGCAGCTGCTTCACCGCCATCTCGCATGTAGAACCGTTCCTCCAGCCCCCGCCGCCTCGGAAGAAGCCGGTGATCATTGCTTCAAACTTTCCCCGACTGCTAATTCCGGCGGGCACCTTCGCGACACTCGTCAACATCATGAGTAATGAGACTTTGGTAGAGTACGTTGAAGGAAAAGGCAACTGATGAGAGAAAGGGAACTTTGTTGTTTGTTTCCTTTTTGAGCTAGCTGGAGGAGATTGGCGTACGTGTTTATATAAGGGGAGGAGGGACCTGAGATAGCCTTGCTCGACTAGGATTAGGAAAACCTTTTAATGGTCGGAAACAAATTAATTAAGTACCACTTTCTTATCCGAGCTGGCCGGCTACGTATTTTAGTACGTTAAGTGTGGTGTATTAGGACTCGTACGTAGCCCATGCATGCACTAGCTAGTTGCCGTGTTATGAGCTAGGGTTTTCCCTTTGTATATATTGATTGCCCTCTAACAGAGTGTGAGAAAGTACTCAAGCTGAATAACAGATCTTATCGCAATCGAAAGTAGTATTGGAACCACGTAAATTAGGGATGATAATTTGAATCCGAGCATTATCTGATCTGACTCGTGATGGGATGTGTATTACCCGACTCGTAGTAGCGTGGAGCGGAGTATGGGTATCTACTTCCGACTTCATGCCCCGCCCTGCCGATTTCTTCGCCCATTCTATCTATATTTATGTATTTATATTTCTCATATTTTGCCATTTTTTTTCAACTAGTTAGACGGTAGAGATTTGATCTTTTAACTAGTTAGACTTAGCTACTGACACGCCAAAACACAACACCTAACAATGGCCAAGTGTAACCAATGAAAGGGACTGCAGTATAGTGGCACAAGTAATAAATATCGAATCCACGGGTCTCTAGAGTTACTATTACTCAGCTTCAGTTCATTATCTAGCAAACTAGATTAAGGATTGATTAACTAAACTACTCTACTAACTAAACTAAGTAAAACTACTAATTACAGTTTGGGAACTCACTTAGGTATGATTCCCCCTAGCTCCTCAATTAGGTCCAAGTTGTAATTCATTTTGGTTGATTTACTGTTGATTAAACTGCGGAAGATCCGACAGTAGCTTGGAATCTCTTAAGCTGACCAAGCCCTCTCAGTCTAACTATCCGGCAGACGACTAGTCTTCACCGGGATAGAAAGCTGAAGCAATAAGCACAGAACTCCACTACTGGAATTGGATTCCAGTACAAAGCAGTAAACTGGCTAACTCTCGTATAGCCAATCTCCTACTACCGAATGATGAGACTCTAGCAACCTAATCAGATTCTATCTATCTCAGATTGCAGCAGAAATCAGGAAAAGTTGATCAGACTTCAACTGACTCAATAAACATGCATCATTCGATTATAATCAAACAATATAGCATCCAAAACTTCATACAAGAAAGATCCTAACTCATGGAACTAGGGTTCCTCAAAACCTCAGTGAAGGGAAGTTACTCCATAGAGAAGAGAGAGACTGCAGAAATCTGATCTAGATCTTCAATCTCCATCTCCAAGCTTGATTCCCGAGCTTCAATGGCGAAGAAATCCTCCAAAATAGCTCCAAGAATGTTCCCAAGTCGCTCTCTCTCTCTCTAGGGTTCGTCCCTTGGGTGTTTGGGATCCAAAACCCAGCTCTCCCTCCTCTTTGGTTCGGAATTTGGCTTAAAACCAGGAAATCCCGACTCGCACGGCCAGGGTGCACGGCCGTGCATATCACCATTCTGGCCGTGCAACTCAAAACGCAGCGTGTCATTTAGTCGAACTTCAGCCCTCTCGCACGGCCAGGGTGCACGGCCGTGCGAGCTTCAGGGGTTGCCCGTGCGTGTCCTCGGCATAAGGCGCACGGCCATATTGCTCACGTGCACGGCCGTGCAGCCTCCCTGGTCTGCCCGTGCAGCTCCCCAAAAACCTCGCCATTCGTCCGTTCTTCGTCCAATCGACCCCAGACTCGCTCCTAAGCCTTCATTCACGTACTAGGACCTGAAACATCACAAACAAGCACACCCTAGCGTGAAATCGGTCTAAACCACGAGAAATCACATCTCAAACGGTGTAAGAACAGGGGTAAAAACATGTGTAATTAACGGTCTATCAGCTACCCATTCTATTATCACTAATTTTCAATCATAAACTATTTTCGCTAATTCATCCCAAAAAAAAACTATTTTCGCTTCGGTTTATCGTAAAAAAAATAAATTTTTGCATAAATTATTTAAATAACATGTAAGAGTGGGTTGATCTGCCCCGCTCCATACCCGAGCAAGTATTACTCGCCCCGACCCGCGTTGATATTACTCATCCCAACTTGCACTTGGTGTGGGACGGGTATTGGTATTGAGATTCTCGTCCCACCCCATTCATTTGTCGTCATTAACGTAAATTTGTTAATCTTTATTGTTTTCAGCGACAACTCACATGTATTATAACATATATATGGGTTATACCTGTGGTGCTATCGTGATATGGTACCTTTAGAGGTCATTCGGATGGAGAATTTTAATAACGATTTAAAATACCTTTAGAGGTCATTCGGATGGGGAATTTTGAATCGAAATCTCACGATTTAAAATACCTCAGAATGTATACATGGGATTTGTGACAAATATAGTGGTTGTTGAGTGGAAGAAGAAATGTCACGAGGAGATGAAATCGTTGGTTAAGAAAGAACACTCAAGCGAGCGATGACTGAACGAGCGTTATCCCCGCTAATACGGGGCTCAAGAATGAACACTAAATCTGGCCGATGGGGCTCAACAAACGAAGCAAGGTATTAGAGAAAATTCTCAGCTCCTGCTCCCTGACAATTCCACGCTAGAATATCCAAAATAACGGGAAAAGAAAGTAAGACGTAAAAGAACAAGGAAGAGGGCTTCCCTCGCAGGCTAAAGGTCGGGTCACGACTGATGGACATGATGAGGGCTCTGTCTGCCCCCCAATCCCCTCTGCTCCTTTCTCCCAGTTCCACCACCCTCCGAACCTGGTGATTTCTTGGATTCCTGCACCCCTGCTTGCGCCCCTTTCCCCTTGTTCCAGGTAGCACTACTCGAGGGTTTAGCCGAATCACCCTCCCCCAATCCCTTTGAGCTATCTAAAGTCGTCACCTACTTTAGAATTTGCTTCGGGACCAAAGGAGGCAGGGTCTCAAGGGTCTTATCATTGTCTCTGAACGACGTAGTAAGTTCATCTCTTTGAGCAGGAGGTGGTTGGCCGTTGATACCCAGCTTCCCACCTTGGAAAGTCGACCCTGCAAGTGGTAGGTGCTCACCCCCGAGCTGATTAGGCACCCCTACTACAGTTTGAGTCGAACTGGCGAGGTTCTGGTTAATCACGTCACCAGCTGGCTTGTTGGGGATTGCATGCACCGGCACGCTAGCATTTCCAGCCATCGTCTCCAACTAGTTTGTCACAATACTCACAGTGGAGTGGGCGGGTTGGTTGACAGCCCGTTTCTCCACAGGGGCTTCCTCCATAATGATTTCCTTTATACCATCATCCTCCTCCTCTTCAGCCTCCTCCACCACCAGACTCTAGAACCTGGAGCTCGATCCCGGCTGAGAAGGGACGCCACCATTACCCGGGCGGGACCCCTGTCCAACTTTAGGTAGGGAAGCTGACGACGTCGGTTCTTTGTGTTGTTGTTTCCTGCCACGGGGTTTAGCCATCATCCACTCGCCATAAATTGGCTGAGAGCATGCTTTATCCTTAGCCATTGGGGTCTCTCGCTGTGTCTCCACAAGCGGTGGACGATGAACACTTGGACATCCCTTTATGGAATGACCATATTTACCGCATTCGGTACAAATATTATGGAGGCCCTCATAGTTGATATAGTATGTCCGACCTTCCACTTTGTACTGTGAGAGGAGGGGCTTCATCAAATCCACCTCCACGCACACACGGGCATAACGCCCCCGGTCCACGGTCAACGTGGTACGATCCACTTTGACCGGGTACCCAATTTTCTCGGCTATCAAAGCGGTTTCATTATAAAGAGTAACAATATTTGCAAATTACTCGCGAAACGCCATTTAAGATGGCCTAATTCGTATTAAGGACTGACGAATCGGTACTAGAAGCTTCGGAGTGCCTATGCCATACAAAGGTTTGTGATACTTATCTTAGCTAGAAATTGAACATGCATACCGGTGATAATCAACAAAATCCATACCGTAAATCGTTAGCATATGAGCATTCGCCTCTCTCATACAACAAATTTATGAATTCATAATAGTAGAAAACCAATACCTATAATCGTCTAATTTCTAATCCTAGCTTCCTCACAAACTTCCTTGAATTCATTCAACATGAACTCACCCCCTTTATCTGTTCTCAGACAACATATACCAGTTCTAACTTCCTTCTCAATTTGATTCTTAAACTTCTTGAACACACTCAAAGCCTCAGACTTATGAGCTAGAAAGAAAACCCACAGCTTCCTACTGAAGTCAACAATCGGTATAAATACATACCTCTTCCCAGCATTCGAGACAGGTGTGATTGGACCACACAAATCAGCATAAAGAAGTTGTAACTTGTGAGAGGCCCTCCATAGACTCTTCTTTAGGAAAGACTTTCTATGTTGCTTTCCAACTAGGCAGGTGATGCAGACTCCAGCTGAGCCTTTGAGAGTAGGAAGACTTGTTACCATTTCTAATCTCTTCAGTCCAATCAAGCCCTGGTAATTGAGAAGTCCAAATCTTCTATGCCACAATTTTAACTTGGCTATATAAGTTTCAGTAACCTGCAAGCATTGAACCTTCTGGCATGGCAGCTCACTGTGTAAGACAAACATTTTGTTGCTCTTCATAGGAACCTTTACTAGCAGACCCTCGATCTCATGAAAGACCCTGCATGTGTTTCCTTTGAGTAGAAACTCCAAACCTTTATCCTGAAGTTGTCCCATGCTCAGCAAGTTTGTCTTCAGTCCAGACACATAGAAAGCATCCTGAATAATCAAGCTCTGCAAGTCAGTCTTGACATTGATGGCTCCTTTTCCCTTGACTTCTAACTTAGTTCCATCTCCTAGTTTCACCACACCAGTTCTTGCAACTTCCATGGCTATGAACCAATCTTTGTTTCCTGTCATGTGATTGCTACATCCAGAGTCATGAAACCACCAACCCTCATGATTGGCTTCTTGTTGTGGCTCTAGTAAAGCCATCATGTTACAGGCTTCTCCTGTCACATATTCAACAGCCTCATTCTTGTTTTCCTCTACCATTTCTTCTTCCTCTACCAAAGCTATAAGCAAGACATCATCTTTGATATCCATGGATGATGATGATGATGATGATGAAAAATGTGGTTGCTGGTTGTTCCACTCAAGACACTCACTTCTGTAGTGTCCTAGCTTATGTCACTTGAAACACTCCACTGTTTCTCTGCTCCAGTCCCTTTCACTGTTCAGCACTTGATCCTCTTCCACTGCAGGTTTCTTAGTAAACTTCTGCTCATGAACCAACAGATAACTTTGAAGGGCATCAACAGAAAGCAGTTCTATGTCTTTTGATTCTTCAATTGAACAAACAACATAATTGAAGATCTCTGTCAGAGTCCTTAAAATCTTTTCTACAATCTTCTCAGTTGTCATTGATTCACCACAGTTTCTTATGGAGTTAGCAACTTCCATAACTCTACCAAAGTAGTCTGAGATAGATTCTCCTTCTTTCATTTCCGGAATTTCAAAACTCCTCCTAAGACTTTGCAACTGAGCCTTTTGAACTCGTGCATTACCCTGGTATTTCATTTTTTCATAGAGTCCCATAGTTCTTTGGAGGTACCTTTGTAGGTGATTGTCTTTAAAATCTCTTGTCTATGGAGTTGAACAGGTAGTTTTTGGCTTTGAGATCCTTCAATCTGAGATCTTCCAGTGTCTTTGTTTGTTCTGCTGTGATCACAGCTCCAATGAAAACAACTCGTCAATACTCTTTGGACCTCAGAAGATTCTCCATAAGCATGCTCCAGTGCTCATAGTCCCCATCAAACTTGGGGATACAAGCTTGAGCAAAGTCACCATCACCCATCTTGTTCTTGTCTCTCACCCTGATCGAAACTCACTTTTCTCTCGGGTTTCCCAACCCAGAAAACAAACAATTTCACTCTTTCTATCTCTCTGTGCTTGACAACAACTCACTCTTTCTTCAAGCTTGAAAGCTTCTGCAAATTTTGGTTACGGTTTACTTTCGAGCTCTAATACAACAATGAAGACTCAAATGTATTATAAACTGACACTTTTATCAGAAGAACGAACTGAACCATAAATAAACAGATCCAGCCTGCAATCTTGGTTTCCTACTAACCATGATTGACTCCACGATCCTAAAAACAAGCTAACAAAATCTATACAACTCGATGGACACCAATGCAACTCTAAAGACATAAACAGACTTTAATGAACACACTTAGAATTTTAGTGACTTAACTGTAAAATACCAAACCACATAAACGACACAGCATTGACTCAATTTAAAACCCTTCCTTCCTTCGCGCCTCAGCTACTCCTTCTGCTCTGCCGATTCCTTCAGCAGCCCGGATTCGAGACTTCTTCCAACAAAAATATGTATAGCAAAAACTAAAAAGTATGTTTTAGCAAACCCAACCTGAAATAGGTTAGAGTTCGCCCTTCACGCGCCGGCCCTGTTCCGGGATGTTGATCAGGTACGGGATCCCGTTGGGTCCGATTACAAGTGGGTGCGGCTATTGGGTGACGTCGGCAGCGATAAAAGTCGCGCTTCAGCGTGCCTTAGGTGAAGATTATGGAGCCCATTTGGGAGAGGACGACAGTGGCTGAGTGGAAGAAGAAAATGCGACAAGGAAGATGAAATTGTTGGCTGTGGTTGGTGATTTCAGCGTATGGTGTGGTGGTGGGTTATATCTTTATACGAGTTATGGGCCGGACTTTTTTACGATAGTTATGGGCTGGACCTTCTGTTGGGCTTTCCGTTGCATGCTTGTCGAGCCCGTTGTGGTTTCTGCGGGTCAGTTTCAAGAGCCCGTTCACTCTCATCAATTTCCTCTATCAACCAATCTATTTTTTTTTTCCACGTAACCTCATTCAAAAAGGAGGGGGAACTCCCTTCCTTATCATATAAAAAAAATATGTTGCATTTATACTTAATTAAAAAATCTAAATTAATATGCATTCTTAGATGAGAAGAACCTTCAAAGGAAATACATCTGTTTTCTCCAAGATCTCATTCTCCAAATTACCCTTTAGTTCCAATTCAGAATAGTCCTATGGATGTTATCTCTGGACAATGACTTGAAATCAAACACCGCTAGATACTATGAACCAAATATATCATGATCCTCTGGATGCTGAACTGGGCAGGAACCCTAGTTGTGTGTGGCGTGGTTTAATGGCTGCTAAGGATCTGGTCAAATGAGGTTTAAGGTGGAGAGTGGGCAATGGTAACAAAATAGATATCTGGCTTGACAGGTGGATACCTTCCAGTACCACTTTTAAAGTTACTTCCCCAACAGTTCATTGGGGTAACTCAACCTCTGTAGTTGAATTGGTGGACATTGAGACCAGAAGCTGGCGTGTAGACCTACTCCAGACCCATTTCAACCCCACAGATTGCACTAACATTCTAAAAATTCCTATTCCAAGACAACCAATCGAGGATAGGAGGATCTGGGGCAAGGAAAAAATGGGGGAGTATACTATGAACTCTACTTACAGACTATGGGAGGATAGTAACATTGATGAAGAGGGCGAATTTTATTCGCCAGTTAACTGGAAGAAGGTCTGGAACCTTCAGATTCCTCCAAAGGTGAAGGTGTGTGCTTGGAGATGGCTGAGAAACATTATACCTACAAGGGCTCGAATCCTAAAACGCACTCAACAAGGCAGCGAAGATTGCCCTTTCTGTGGCCTAATGGAAACAGAAGAACACATTTTTCGAGAATGTGCTTGGGCTGGTAGGGTCTAGCGATACAACACGTTAGGTTCATACATATATAGAGGGGAGAATCTTACCTCGGAGGAGTGAATCTTTGATCTGCAGGAGACTGAATCCGACGAACAGCTCGGGTCGTTCTTGGTGGGTCTCCAGTACATCTGGGATCAGCAAAACTGTCATATGTGGAATAAGAAGAAATTGGAGGAATGGGAAATTCTGGCTCGAGCTAGAGAGTGGTTGAAGAATTACCTGGAAAAGAAGAGGAAGTTCCAACCAGCAGAGCGAATGGAGGATCAGCGGTGGAAACCTTCGATGATGGGGTCAGTGAAGCTCAGTGTCGATGTTGCATGCTTCGATGGCCAAAGAACGGGATGGGGAGTGGTGGCGAGGGATGCAATTGGACAATACCTATTTGGATTTGTGAAGAGATCACAGATTCAATGGAACCCGGAAGAAGCAGAAGTGCTGGCGGTGGATTTCGG